TCAATGGTTAAGATGATGAGTCAGTTGAAGCTAGACCACCATTGAAAACCTGGAAGCACTGGCTGACCGTTTCGTCTTATTGTGGGACTCCTCCGAAGTCTACATCCACGATTCATGCCGTGACCAGTTGAGCTAATCCGTGTCGGGTAGAGATAGGTGTCCACCTCAGTACAATGGAAGATGGCCGCGCAATTTCGTGGATTGGTTGAGGTTAGACATTGACACCATTGAATGCTGGCTCAGTGGTCTAGAGGTTAAGAATTCGTGCGCGAGACCGAAGGCACTGCTGAGGAGTCCCACAACAGGACGAAACGAAGTCCAGTGCTTCCAGGTTTTTAATGGTGGTCTGACATTAGTCATTTTATGATCTCAATCAATTACTAACTAAGCTATTAAAAATAATACTCGTCAAATAAATAATCCATAGAATTTGATAGAATTTTTTTTCAAAGAAAGAAATCATTTCATAAATCATTTGAGTAATAAGGATTTATTTTAGTTCCCTTTGCGCACTTATCAATCAGTACTTTGATATTACTTCAATTATTATTCATTAAGTAGGTTTTGCATGATTAATTTATAGGTGGTTTTATAAAGATTTAATGTAACTTGAAAGTAATTTAATAATATGAGCTAGAAATTTAAAATTAAAGAGGGCTGGACAAATGTTGTGTTCCAAGTTGAAACCCTTAATAATGGCCAAATGTACGACAGGATTAAACCCAATTTTTTCATCTCTTTTCAAGGTTATACAACTACTGAATCATTGGTTTTGAATTCATACGTTTGAATTTACGTCTCAAAACCAATCCATACTCTAGTTTGACGACTACCGGATATGGTCAATAAGTTATTATTTCACTATCGACTTTAATTATGACAAATCTCCCTGAATTGCCTAATCATTAATGAGCATATACTCTTTAAGAAAGATTTTGGAATTTTTTTTATTAGGAGTCGTAATCTGCCCAGTGATTCAAATTGATAATAAAACAGCAACTCCATGACCACCTTAAATAATTATTGTGTTACATCATAGACTGAATATATTTGAAACAAGAGCCACTGGAATCTAGATTTGTAACTGAGTAACATCATGATTTAGTAAGATCTGATTATGTCGAGTACTATCTTTATGGGATGGTGATTGCATAATTCTGAAAATCAAGTAAAAAAAGGACAAAATAAAGAATCATTACTCCTGGCTTCTCATAAATTTTCCATTTGTCACTTTGTGACGATAACTGTCTTGAAATGTTTCTCTTCATAAAATAACAGAATTTAAAAAAATATGCTTACGTCTGGTCAAATTTTATACCTGTAGATATCACATATTTGAAGGCTTCGTAACAATAATACACTAATTATTATTAATAGTCGTCCCTTCCCTATATATCAGACAATCGACCTATTTATCATAAACTCACAATTCATCTACTGTATAACAGTAAACTTACAGTTCAGAGAATGTTTTTGGTTATCAAATAAATTAGCTAAAAAAATCAATATTCCTAGGGTAAAATGTTGCATCTTATATAGGAATAGTTTTTAAGATGCTGGCTTTTAGAAATGTAAGCGTCCATAATGTAGCATATGAATAATATCATTAATTACATGTATGCAGCGACAACATTTCGAGATTATACCAGTAGCAAGTAACAAGAGTATAATATTAACTAATTTCCCAGCACTTAACATTCAGTTTGACCTGTGGTAAAGTTAATCATAGCTTGGGAATCAGTATATATATATATATATATATATATATATATATATATATATATATATATATATATATAATATGCGTGTACATATTACTGTTATTAATAATAGTACAGTCGCCATCTTTCATTTCAGTGTTATTATATCTTCAGGTAAATGGACTGCGTGTTTGACCTTGAGAGTATAATTAGTTTGTACTAGATTTTAGACTGTTTTGTTCAATCAGTTCATCAAAATTAGCAATATTTATTAAATATATAATTGATAGTTTTCAAAATACACTTCAAGATTATTTACTTCTGTTAAAACTATTCAAAAATCTAAGCAAGGTTGATTTTTAAATCGATATATAAATATAGTATTATCTCGTATTGACAGTAACTTCATGAAATATTATTGACAAATAATGAACTCATTGTCGTACTGAAAATTAGAATCATTTCCACTGGTTAACCTACCTTGATGCTTTTTAAGGATATGATGATTGAATTTAAAAAAGGATATAAGTAATATTAGTCCAAAATCATGAATTATAAGGTCAATAGGTCAGAGAAGGTCTGAAAAATATTTTCTTCTTTATGTATATGAACCCATGAAAATTAACTATTCATTATTATCAATAGTTGAAATCATGAGTCAATTGAAGCTAGACCACCATGAAAAATCTGGAGCACTAGACGGCCGTTTCATCCTATTGTGGGACTCCTCAGCAGTGCGCATCCACAACCCCGGCGGGACTCGAACCCAGGCCCGTTGTGAAATATCAACTCACTGAAGACAATGGTGTACGGTGGTGCAACTTCATGGATTGGTTGAAGTTAGACATTAACACCACGTTATACCGGCTCAGTGGTCTAATGGTTAAGCGCTCGTGCGCGAGACGGAGATGTCCTAGGTTCGAATCTCGCGGGGGGCGAAATTGTTGATGTGCACTGTTGGGGAATCCCATACTAGGATGAAACGGTAGTCCAGTGCTCCCAGGCTTTCCATGGTGGTCTAGCTTCAATTGACTCATGATTCCAACTATTGAAATTTCTAGAAATCTCCACAAAACCCTTCTAATAATATTCATTATTGTCGTAGAAATAGAAATCTGCGTACATAAATTATGTATTGTATAACAGAAATTCTGAATATGTAGAAAGCAAACATATTTCATATATATGAGTAGAAATGTGGTTCCAGTATTACGCTGAAAACTCCCAGAAAAGTGTAATTTTTACTTCGAATAATTTTTCCCTAGTATATAGGGGTCAGATGAGTCAGAGAGAAAGGTTCACTCAACCATCTACCTATCTATCGATGGCTTACTTTACCTATCTGGCTCTTCGTTATTTATTGATTATTGCTTTGAATCATGGTCATTAGACTTTGAAGGATACTGAAGTCACAGATATTTTTCTAAAGAAATCTGGAAATATATTGTCTTGCGTTTGATGGAGCTTCTGTCAAGCGAGCGAGTCGAATGTGTGAGTCAAAATGAATAGGATTAAAATGTACATATATATAGGGAAATGAGTGAATCATCGAATCAATTCAGCCACTTATAGTAAGGCTAGCAGAATGAATATATGCGAAGGCAGTAAGCAATGCTCAGACATATGTATTTATACAAGTGAAACAAATATAAAGGTAAAGTGATATAAGTTGTTATCATACGGAATAACTCTGTCCGTTAAATAAGTTAACAAAAGGGCTTAACCAAATTAAATGTCAACATACTCAGTTGCACGTGAGCTGCTATAGAACGCTTAATATCCACGATGTCAAAATTATAAAAGAACAACTCTGTATATACAACCCGTATGACCTTGGGACACAAAACTAAATTAGGAAACTAAAAGTTTGCAACTAACTTGGTAAATACAAAGGTCACTGTGGAAATACGAATTAGAAAGATGTTATCGTTGTTATACATACAAACAAAAACTTTCATTCATCAAAGATAACTGATTCACCTTATCTTTCAACCACATATTGTTAATTTACTCTTACTCTGCTGATGTCCATTGACGGATAAATTTATTTGCTGAGATGACTTAACCTATTAAATTATGATTTTATTTATGTTAATAGGCTGCAGAGTCTGTCATTATCGACAGTGGATTTTACTGAATGTATTCAGTTGCGTGTAACAATATATCAGTAAGTAAATGATACATTATACAATAAATCTGAAGACTGAGAATTTATGAGTTTTCAACTAAAACTGTTTGTATTCAAACAGTAATGAAGTCAAGAAACCAATACCAAGTGAATTGGATGCGAGTTAGATGTAATAAACAATATGAAATTTAGAACATATCTTATCGAATTGTTTTAAGAGTACAAAAAAGGGATAACATGCATAAAAGGCAAGTGTTTAATCAGAAAACAACTAACCTTATTATATGATTACTTAAAACATAATTCTGCACTTGATTTGAATCCCAAATACAATATCCCCTAGTGTGATCATTACTTCCTGTCTGACTCGAATGCTTGTCCATTTGTTACTACGAGAGTATGTGCAAAACACTTTCGGGAATTACTAGCTCGTATACTATTATTATTAGTAGTACTTATAGTGGTAGACGTTTGAGTATGCCAGGTATATGAGGGAAGAAACTAAGTACATATATGTACTCACGTCATTATCCTTGTGATATCTTAAGTCTTCAGAAATTAACTTTCACAACATCTTACGGACTCATACAGTGAATTCTTATTTTGTACAGTTAACGATAATTAAATAAGTGAAAACAATGAAGGTCAAACTGCTTTCCTAATTTTTATTCTATACCGATTAGTTTACTAGTAGGAAAAAATTCGTCCCATTCACTGATAGAATTTGGGAAGCACTAAAGTAATATACAAATATTGTACTGGTCACTTCTTAACGGACGACCAATTGTAAATATATCAGTCCCATAGAATGATAATCAAGACGCAAATAGCTCACTGGTAAAGTTTCATAGTGTGAAACTGGGTAACTTAATTCCAAATCCCACAGGGAAAATCCGTCCCTCCGAATCTCAGGTATGCCTTACTGGTATGCGAACTAGCACGAAACTTCGTCCACGTCTTCCTATCGACTATCTTCAACCACCTAAAGCTTATGTCATTTTTATATCTTGAAAATGGATTTGATATAGGCCTATGATAATTGCTGATTGCCGGACCATTGAACTTATTCTTATACGAGAGGGCTTGGTGGCGGAATTAATAGAACCTCAATTGTGACACAACATTTCAACAATATTCCACTTTTACGAAGAAACACATAGAAAAGACAGAAGTTCAAGGAAATTGATATTTAAGCCAAGTTTAAATCGTACAACTCTGTATAGATATATCAATAAAAACATGACCTTAGAGCACAAAGAAAGTTACTAAACTGAAAGTACTGACAATCGGTCAGAAAAGCGAAAAGGCTATCCGAAAATTGGAATTAGAAAAGACTCACACTTAATTATCGTTACCAGCAAGAGCTTAACGTTTAATTAAAAGAAAGATAATCCTTTGATCTCCCTGAATACTACCCAATCAAGGAGATAGTTTTTTTCATAATCTTTTCTTCGCCATAATCATTAAAAAAGCAATCGAATTCAAAATTGATATTTTACAAAAAGTAGAAAACAAAAACAGTCGTTTACATACACACATGAGCATAAACAAACAGATAAAGAGAAATTCATACTTTGTACAATAACGTTAGCAACAATGTTCAAATTACTGTTGAGGATAACAAATTTCTTTTACAGAAATTGATATAAAAAATTCCAAAACAAAAATGCTGAATTCATTTAAACAAAACAGCAAAATTCAAATAAAAGTTGTATTCATCTTTCTCTTTTAAAAATATTGAAATCTGGATAGAAAAAAATCATCTGAAAGAAAATGTTTCTGTCTTGTACTCATTTTTTTCCAAAAAAAATCGTTGAGGTGAATATGAGAAAATAAGTAGAACATTTTGGAATTGACATATTGTGATAATAAATTATAAAAGTTTTTACATTGAACACATGAATCACATTGATAAACAGAACATAATAAGCTTAAGATATGGGATGAAAATAATGGTATTATGTATTTTACCTGAATTATTGTGTGACTGAGGTAATGATGATATTTACAAATTTCTATCAAAATGGTTACAGCCAACCGCACTGGTGTATACTACTAAATCACAAACGGCATAAATAAAATTAGTCAAACAAATAGATAGGTAGTATCGAATTTGATGTTATTAACAGTAACAATCATAGTGATTAATTAGGTTTTAATAATGGATCTAAGATATTCGACTGTCTTGATAATCGTCCAGATGTTAAGTCCGATTCCAACTCATATAACTGCCCCATAAAGGCGAAATTTGGTGCAATCACCGAACGTTTCGATTTCACATATTGATAAGCATCGCTTAGTGACAAACTTGAATAGTTCATTAAATAAGCAATAATTAAAGCTGGTGATCTGGACACACCAGCTTGACAATGAACAAGTACAGTTTTGCCAGAGCAACGAACTTCTTCTATGGAGAGACAATTTTTTTCAAAGGAAAAACATTGATGAAGTAAACAAAAATGAAACAGCACTTTTTATGAGGTACCAATAATCATAAAATTAGAAAACGTTACTTCATTTCCCATTTCAAACAAAATCTTAGCTGTAATGACAAAATAAGTGGGTTGATGAAATCACTAGTATGATTGGTGGGACGGGACGGACGATTCACTTATGCAGCAGACCCATAAATTCCAAACATGTAGATCTTAGAAAACGGAATTAGCGAGAAATGTGTTCAATCTACTAGGGAATTATAATTTTTGTTGATAAACAAACCATTCAGACAAGCTATTGTGTTGTAATATCAAGCAACAAGCAATTAATTTAAAGTTAGACATATACTTTAGCTAGTTTAGCAGACTGGTAAATATTTCTATTTGAATCTATACTCCACTGGTTTCCGAATTTCTATGTACATAAAGACCAACTGCAAAGTGTCAGTGACCTTATTTATCTAAAGTTCATTTTATCGCTATACCCTGGAATAAGCATGACAAGCGTTCGTGTGTAATTAGTCTACAATAACATGTGTATCATAACAGTCAATAGAAAATATGTAAACAGCTAATTGTTAAAAGTTTCGTGAAACTGGTTTAATTTGTACGTCGTATTCGTAACAGATTGATCTCAGTTGAAGTGCTGTTAAAAATTAAGGAGCATTGGTAAACTGTGTGTCTTCGTAAAAACTGATTCGCCCTAATACGGGGCTTTCCTCGGTAGTAAACATCCACAACCTCACAATGTCAGGAACCTACGGTTTCCATTTTTTGTGATGAATATCTAATCAATAAAACTACTGGATAAGCATTCAATGACACAATTTTAAGTTCAATCAATCTGAGATATAGCACGACGATTATCCAATGTTATAGATGACAACTTCCATACTTCCGCCATGTTTGAACCCCATTAATGACGACTTCTCAGTAGAACTTTAGGAATACCTTGAAGAAAGTCGCCGGCGAATTGACTATTACAGTTTAGTTGAAAACGTTTTGTGGAGATTGGTTTAATTTCTAGGTGTCAGTCGTCATTGATCTGCAGTGCTGAGGTATCCTATACAAGGATGGAACGACTTTCCATTGCTCCCGTGTTTTCTTTGGTACCCTAAATCAGATCATTTTGTAATGAATAGTACCTAGAAAACAATATTTCGTTTCATTTTGACGTCAAATGTTCAATCCAACCATCAGATACACAATAGATTTAGGAAAAAAAATTTCGATGAGTTCAAGCTTTTATCTAGAATTTTTTACTCGAGTAATAAAGACTTTTTTATAGGAATCATAAAGCCCAAAGAGTGCGTTATACAAAAGCAAAATAATCGATTACATGTAACCAACAGAATAAGTAAATGAATACGACAGTGGATTGATAGATAAGAGAATAAGGTATAATGTATAGTGTACAATACGAAAATATTAGATTTTATCTAATAACCATTAATAAATATCATAAACAACTTGAAAAAATCAATATATAATGTTTTCGTTGTCTAGACACAATACGTATGTTTATTTGATGTCATGTTTACGATTAACAGAATTCGACAAGAAATGAAATAAACTGTAATAGTTAATCGTAAATGAACACCTTCAGAAGTATTCAATAAGAACATCTATAAACAAGTGGTAACTACAAAAATATTCATGATCATTATTCATAATTTTTTTTAAAAAAGATCATCGTATACTAACACTGTGTTGCCTGTTGTCGCTAGATTGTTATCTCAACGACAACAACAACAACATGAACTACTGATTAACGTATTAGATATATTTAACTTAGATTTACACATTTAAAACAAGTCTTCTATACTATTTCTTGCAAGAAGTGATCTAATGCATAGAAAATGTGTTCAGTATTTAGAGTTTAATTCATTAGGTTTTATATGAATTTCGGATATTATTACATTCAAATATGGCATATTGTATGTGCATTACAATCCTGCTTAAATTGTTCTAGATATTTGTTTAAGAAGTTCGTGTCAATTATTTAATGTTTTGTGAATAGTTAACAAACAATTACTTCTTGAGAATTCATACATAAGATTACATAACATCCTTCCGATATAGTACATTCGTTACTTCAAATCACTTATTCCATATCATGTATACTACCGACAAAACATGATCTTTTGTAGTTTTAAATTACAGATAATTACTGAAAACCGAAATTTTCTCGTTCAGTGCTCCTTAAAACGGGTACGTGATGTATAACTTCCTAATTCAACAAACTCCACAACCCAGTATACTAAGATATTCAGTGTCGTTGAATCTAATTGTTTCATTCCTAACTGATTAGTTATTAATTTTATATATAGATAGTATTTAGGTGATATTACTGCTGCACCGTAGGACATTAATATATTATAGCATTAGTTTGATGACTAACATTTCGGTGCAGTTTATCCGAGTAAAATTAATGTATACATTTGTTTTATCACATTTATTGACCAATTAGATAAATATTTCAAACTTTAGATCCATCACTCGAGTTTGGAACGATGTTAAATCTATTTAAGATGAGTCATTGTTTGTCTGGAATTATCGTCTGTCTGTTTATCAATCACTTTCTCAAGATGAAAACAGTGACATATTTTTCCAGACTGACTCAGCATAAATAGAGGCATAACAGACAGCATTGTTATATTTTAAAATTATAAAGCAGTGAATCACGACCGAGACATGACTCATCAAATTAGTATTATTCCAAGATTATGTTTATTATATATCGAAAGAAATTAGAACGAAGACAAGAAAACAAAGTATGGTATGTAACTTGTCTGGACTTCTTCATGGCAATAATCAAACTATTCGTTCCAATCTTGAGAAATATTCGTATAAATGATTTTCCTAGAATGCTTTATAAGTTCCATGTATATTGTACTTATTACGCCATTACGCAACATGAACCAATCTTTTTCAATCCCGGTAGGTAATTTTAAATCTGAATATCTTGGAGACATTGTTTGGATTTCACAATGACTGAATTGTGGATAGACACATAGTTTGACTAGTACGTATTAATAACTATTTACATTATGTACCTGTTGCTCACCTCTACCTGAAACAATTTTGACAACGGAAGGTTTTGTTAAGAATTAAAGTTAAAAGTTGTGCACTTTACGTCTTCTTGAAGTAACTGACTCTTTACTTGTCAAATGGTGAGTGATGCAATCCACAGCAATCATATAGCCAGTTTGCATAGAAATTTTCAACTAAGTGATTACGTAGGGAACAATCAAGTGATATATTTGTTGAAGTGTAGCTAATTCTCACATAAATAACATAAGTACACATAATTTATTTAATGACCAAAATTTAGAGTTATTGAATATCGTACACGAAAATAAAAAATATAGAATGACTATTTACATACCGATGAATTGAAATGCTGATGTAAAATACGATCGTAAATCTTGTGAATGTGAATCGTTTGCAGGAAGACGACAGCAATTAAATCGCGATTCATCAAGAAATGGTGTTTTAATAGTTACATTTAAAATTGAATCTATGCCATGTTTATCTAAAATCTTTTCACTTTGACCATCGTATTCATTCCCTAGATTGGAAAAGAGGAAGAAAAGAAAGACAAAATAATTAAGATGAAATCAAGTTTTGTGTTAATCGAGTACCAAAACATTGTGCAACACAAATCTTAATGAAATTATACATTATCATATGTTTGCATATCTATGAATGAGCCTATGTAAGTATCAACATCAAGTTATACATGGTATGTTAACCTGAATAAAAAACAATTTATCAAATGAATTTGTTACTGTCAAGTTTTTTTCCATAGGTGATGGATATCGTTTTATAGGCGTACAAGTGACCAACCTTCACATTAACATAGTATGATGTTTACAACTTATAAATATGTAGCCAGTATATATATATTGTGCAGGAAAGTTTACACATTTGTGTCATTGTTTAGAAGTACTATAAATATTATACACAAACGATATTATTACACTTATCGATTTATTTATGTAATTATGGCTAACGCAGTTAAGACAACATGTAAGCAATCTCAAGTATATTAATGTGAAATGCGACAACATGAATACTTGAGCCATATCTTAATTTGTTGACAGATAGATGGGAAATTTTGACGAGACGAATAACTGAGTACAAAATTGAATGGCGGATCACTGTCTACTAGTCTCGGTGTGTTACAAAAACCAAGTCTAAACAGGAAACCGGTCTGTGTGCTATGTTCTTTACAATTGATTGATTACTGGGTGGTGATCAATGTCATGTGTGTGCAATGTCCTGCATATCGATTGCAAAAGAAAAAGAGGAGGACTATTTTCAAATGACAAATAAATACTCAGTAGTAAATAGTTGTCGAAGTATAAACCCAATCCCTTCCAACTAAGTATTATGTTGTCAGACTATCTAACTTCAAACTAGGATGGTAAGATTTTCAAACTTTTTGATGGATAGAAAATTGTTTGAAAAATAACTTCGTGGACAAAGATCAAGAGCTGAAAACTTCTATGAGGATATTTTGGACATGATCTATGTGATAAAACTTTAAAATAATAATGAGTAGAACAGTGATAAACTTGGAAAAATACCACTATAAAATAAGATCTGAAAGCCCTGGCTTCGATCCTCCGGAACGGGATTCATGAATGTCCACTGCTGGGGAATCCTATACTGGGGTAAAACAAGTATCCGATCTTTCTGATTTTCAGTGATTGTTTAACCAAGATCGGTGTCGTAAATGTAAGCCTTCAGATAAGATATGCAATGACAGAAATTTTACAAGTTTATTTATTGTAATCAAGTTCATTAATCTAGTAAAAACTGGTGTCAGTTTTGTGTTTTCAGCAGCAATGACATTACTCAGTATGAATTAAAATGAAGAGAGAATTGACAGTTTAATAAAGCGGTCAAAAGTGGGTTTAAGCATTACTTGGTCACTTTTTGAAACTTAGAGTAATGAAATCTAAGCTAACACAATATTAATATTTGACAGGCACACTGATGTATAAAACGCCATTTTTATTACAAATGATTCATATTCATGCTGGTACTAAATGTATTTACAACTGGATTGCACTGATTTTAAAATCATCATGACATGATGTCACCGACATGATGATAATCCATGATTCTTTTATGCTGAGAGTTATCGTTAAAGTTTAAGGACTTAAATGTGTTGCACATACTGTCTAGTTATTTAGACCGAGATAAGTGGAATGGTCCACCAATGACCCTATATGTAGTATGCCTGCATAATCAAATGTATTGTTTTTATTTTATTTAAAGTGTTATTCTCTTCAGTGAACGAAATGTTTTACAAACGCCATGGTGAAACAAACAATATCTTACGTAATGTATTTATGAGTTATTTATACATGGAAATATAATATAACTATAACTCATCATGTGAAATCATTTAATGGGGTATTTTGTTTTTACCTAGATATAGAAAAGGGAATATTCGACTGATTTCGGCACGAAATATATCTTTTGGATCACCAGGATCACTCTCAGTTACACAAAATTCTGCTAGATTCCATTGTTTTCCAATAAAATTTGCAGTTGAGTTACAGCGGTTAATTATTGTTGAAGCTAAATTATTAGATTGTTTTACTGAATTGTGTAATCGAATCGGCTTGTATTCTGTATTTCCTGAAGACAAGCCTAAACCCGGTAACAATATTGGTGAACATTTGAATTCTAATTTTCGACACTTTATTTTTGTAAGTTGAATGTTCAAAGAATGAGCGAACTTATCCTTTATATTTCTCGACTCATTATGAGTTATATTTTCAGTGTGACTGGTTTTCGAATCACCACTTATAGACTGAGATTCGGCTAACGGCTGTTCACATAAATGATGATAAGAATTGCAAAACTCTTGAATACCGCCTGGACGAAAAAATAAAACACAAAAGAAACAAAATAAATGTTACTAAACATAATCCAGAACATATATATGTATATATAACTTGGTCTGTGGCTCTTCCCCGCGGTTCCAAGCCCGAGTAAAGGAGGAGGTTTGGAATGAGGTCACCAACCCCATCCAGTAGAAAACAACCTTGCTAAAAATGCTAAAGATTGAACAAATTAAACCATTTGTACTCTGCCCTGAGAGTTGAAGAATCTTCATTCAGAAGAATTATGACGCCTCATGGTGAAAGTCAAGATTCTTCGGTAGTCATGAGGCCAATACCACTTTCTAACAACTGGAACAACAATTAATGTAGATACACAGAGTATCCATACAATTTAGGAGACTGGGAGGACCAATCATATTGTTACGGAAATGAGGAGATATAACTCGGTTCTCGGAACCAGTAAAATCATTGGATCCAACATGGGTAGAAAACGTTAGATTTCAGAGAGATGCTGCTATACTCCGGTCACGAAGAAGAAAATGCTCTGTACACTCAATGAGTTGCTCTGATGGTGTCCAAAGAAGCGCGAAATGCACTTATGGGATGGGAATCTCATGGGTCCAAGATCATGAAAGCATCCTTCAAAGAAAAGAGGGAATTACTATGAATGTTATTCAATGTTATGCACCCACCAATCATGGAAATGACGACGATAAGTCAGTTATACGTGGGGCTGCAATCGATCAAAGTGAAATGTCCAGGAAAGGACCTAACCATCATGATGAGAGAGACCTAAGAGCCAAAGTAGGAATGGACAACATCCGATATGAAGATGTCATACGACGACATGAACTGACTGGGAGAACGGTGAGAGAATTGTAAAGTAATGTACATTCAACAAAATGGTTATAGGCGGCACAGTATACCGCACACACAGAGCTACATGGATCTCGCCGGACCACACAACACAGGACCAGATCGATATATTTGTATCACTAAAAATTCAGGTTAATGGAAGATGGACGAACAAAAGAAGGAGCTGATATAGCTTCGTACTACTACTTGATGGTTCACGACAGCCTTCTTTCAACATATTGACAAACTCAACGAATTCAAGATGGCTCACAATAACAAGTTCCTAGCACTACAAGATCTCAAAGACGAAGAAACTACTATGATGGACAATAGGAAAGGGATCAAATAAACACTAACTTCAACGTATCAGGAGGTTCTGGACCGCAAGAGGCATCATCATAAGGAATGGATCCCTCAATAGAGTATTACTGGACCGGATGAAAGGTTCATTAGATGTCCAGCTCTGAGATAAACAGGCTGGATTCTGTAAGGACCGATCATGCACGGAACAAATTGCGACATTACGAATCATTGTTGAGAAATCGATTGCATGGAAGTCGTCAGCATACATCAATTTCCTTGACTGTGAGAAAGCGTTTGACAGCTTGGACAAGGGAATGTTATAAAACTTTTTTCGACACTATGGTGTACCTGAGATCAATATCATACGGGATTAATACTATAAACCACACTGCAACGTCGTGCATATAGGACATATCACAAACGCATTCAGTGGGGACCGGAGTCAGACAAGGCTGCTTACTCCCCCACTTTCCAAAGACCTCGACATCTGGGGGGGGGGTGACACGGAATGAAATAGACAACCTGGATGCAACTAGAAGATTTAGACTTCACAGATTACCTAGCTCTTCTATCCTATACACACGAATAAATGCAAGTGAAGACAACAAGTGTAGAAAAAGCCTCTGTCTGCAGCATTCGGCCTCAACATACACAAGAGAAAAAGCAAGATACTAAAATATAACACGGAGAACACCAACACAATCACACTTGATGGAGAAATTCTAGAAGATGTGGAAACTTTCACGTACTTGAACAGCATCACAGATGGACAAAGGGGATCCGATGAAGACGTAAAGGCAAGGATTGGTAAAGCAACAACAGCACTCCTACAGTTGAAGAACATATGGGACCCAAAACAAATGTCTGCAAGCCAACATCAAAGTGAGAATCTTTAATACGAACGTCAACACAGTTCTACTGTAAGGAGCTGAAGCTTGGAAAACTACGACATTCATCATAAAAAAGGTACGAGTATTTATAAACAGTTGTCTAAATAAGATACTCAATGTCCGTTGGCTGGATACCGACCTCGAAATGACGGAAAAGTTAGGAGAAGACGTTGAAGATGAATCGGACATTCATTGCGAAAATCACCAAACTGTATCACGAGGTAAGCCCTAACTAGGAATCCTGAAGGGAAACGGAAAAGAGGAAGATCAATGCAATGCGTTGAGTTGGAGATCGGAAGTAGACATGAAAAGGATGAATAGGAACTGGAAAGAAACGGAAAGGATTGTCTAGGATAGAGTTAGATGTAGAATACAGGTGGGCGGTCTATGATGTCTCACGACGGGTAACAGGAATTCTATTTATATGTATGACTTGTCAAGTACAAATCAGGGTACTCAGGTCTGATCCCTACATATTTTGCCATGGTGAACGTTCAACCGTGACCCATTTATCTTAATTTAATTAACTACGGAACATTGCTGTCCAACAAGTAAAATGTGTGGTTAAAAGCCAAGCACATAAACCAGTAGTTGCTAAATACGTTATCTGAGATTTTCGTAGCTGAGGCCAATATTTTATTTATAGATGACCTTATCAAATATTGCGAAATTTTCAGTAATTTAAAAATACATTAGTGCATGTGAGTGTCATTCTAATGTGTTATTATAATGTTATTAGGCAACTGGTCAATACACTGAATGTATCTGTAAAACAAATTCATTTATGTTACTACTAATTATAGGAGAGTTACTATTATTGTTTCAAATTTAACTTATAAGCTTATAACTGAGGCATGGACGGTCGATAAACCTGAAACATGGCCAACCCAGGATTATTTTAGTGTATAGGATATTCTGTGAATGACCAATAGTCAAGTTATTTTCCCAACTTCGGAACTATCCAGTACTGAATACCAAACAGCTAACAATCAAACGTCTAAATCTCACAATAAACGCAAAATAAATCAGTTCCTATATTGGAATCTAATGCTTTATCCATTCGTACGTTTTTGCACTATACGTCACTCCCAATATGACATTTGTTATACTATCGTTTAGAACTTCACGATGTTGAGTCCCAAACAATTAATCATTGATTGTTAGGTGGAAATTCACCTAACGAAATATCTCTTTAGTCTAAATAAATGTCGCCCAAAATATGGCGATAACATTGTCTTTTAAAACTTTATAGTGGCACGTCACAATCCTGACCTTGACATATCACCATTTTAAATAACAAGAATATTAAAGTAGAAATTAACGAGATTATGTTTACTATTTTATCAGTTTGTAGTGAAGTGTATGTTATCAAAATGTTTATATCTATATATATGAAGTCATTTTATTTTATTTTATTAACTCAACACTAATAAGACAGAAAACAAACTTATTGGGTATTAAAAGAAATGGCTTCACCAAAAAGCACTTCAGTTTAACCTATATCTAGTAATGCACAGTGATAAGCAACTTCCATATTACGATTTCAGATATCTACTTAGTTGAAAACGACGAAGATGAATGCTTGCTGGCAGCTTATATTGAACGAAGATCTACGTATTAAGAAACATTTTGTGGTTTTAAACCAAAATTTGGAAAACGTACGACAGTGAGTTATTATTATTATTATTATTATTATTATTATTAGTGTCTCAAACTAGAAAATAAAACCATATGGACGTTTACAATATTCATTAGCTAATTTCAAGTTAGGATGCACTCCAATATCTACAATCTATTAAAATATATTAACTTCGCCTGAAACCTTTCTCGGGTTAGTACCATTTCCAAGCCTGGATAAGGGAGGGTTGGGCATAGGGTTGGTAATCCCGTCCGTAGGAAACAACCTTACCAAAAATACGCTAACAATTGAAATAAATTTCCTCTTATCTTCATCTAAATGAATCTATTTTATATCTTAAGGTTTGGACTGAACACTTTACTAATCACATGACGAAATCAATATACTAGTAATGTCAGAAACAAATAAATAAATGCTGCTATAGTTAGTAGGTTTTTATTAAGTCTAACATTAACTAAAAGGCACAAGTTAAACCTTATAAAGGCATATTTTACTATTCGTGGAATATGTATCCCATGAAATGTGCCTTTACACTTTCTTAAAACTAGTGTATCAAAAAAAATCAGCTTATAAGAAAGTGTTTATTTTGCTAAACAGAAATACAGTTAGCAAATAATTAAACAAAAAATATGGTTTGTGAGCTGTATTCGTCACAGACTGATTTCGTTTGAGGAATCACTTAAAATCAGGGCCACTAAATAGCTATTTCGTCCTAACATAAGACTGTTCTGAAATGGTCATCCCCAACCTCACCTGGAATCTTACCTAAGAATAAGATCTAATAATACAATTTCAAATTCAATAGATTTGAGATATTGCACAACGATTATCCAATGTTATTGGTAACAACTATTCTACTTTCGAAGTTACTGAACTCCACCGATTTTTATTGATGCTTCGAATGAAATCAATTTCTGACGAATATAACCTACGAAGCAATCCAATCGTCAACAAAACAAGTTGAAGACAACAAAGAATAATTTAATTATCTAACCAAGTTTTGAATCGAAGTTTTTAGTATGATACTAAGGTTTTAAAAAATACTCTCACTAAACACTTGAATGTATACACGAGACCTTAATCTTTGGAGTTTGCTTCTCAGAGATTATACATAAAATACTGAGTACACTTTTATTTTATGATGTAGTCAATAACATTTTTTTCATGTGACACATACATGACAATAAACATGTAAAGTTTTTTTTAAATTGAACAGATTCCTTTAATCTCGATTACGTTATAATTATATTAAAGATACTAACAAAAAATAAATATTTATAGGAAGCGATGCATGTGTATAAAATATATTTCAGTTACCTTTGAGAACTCTTGCATCTAAATGATGAACATCAATCAAGTGTTTAACCAAGCAGTGAAGAAGATCTTTTAACATAGGAAATCCACCGATATCAGAATCAGTATAGATGATTATTAAACGGTAGTTAGGTTGGTAGTCCTTTAGATTATGAGTATTAAAACATTGTTCTCTAGCACGTAAATAATTATTTAGCACTGACAATGCACGACGTAACTTTACACGAGATTCACATGGTATGCCGATTGCTGTTTGTATTCGTAAATTAGCTTGAGAGGCAAGACTTCTTATGTCAAGTATGAGCGGTACACATTGTTTACATGAATAGTTTGAGGTTAGTAATGAAGCCAGTTCATCACAATCAATAAATTTTATGCCTGAACTAACAGGATTATTGGCAGACTGTTTGTTTTCAGACGGATAGTTTACTTCAATCGGTGATAGAATATCCAACGGAGTTGATGTCATCTGATTACTTAACGTCAAGTGGTGAACTGATTCCAACTTCAGGCGTTTTCCTTCATTTTTACATTCTAAAATCGTTTCATCAGCATCATTCTGTGATGACTGTTTGCATGTTCGTTTTTGACCAATATTTTCGGGCACTACATTCATCGTTAATAAATTGCGTGGTAAATTTTTCTGAAATCCAATACTTTGACAGTGATTGTCATTGTAGTATAGGTAGTAAACTCAACCGCTCCGGTGGACAGTACGCCGACTATCTGTGGTTAACTCTGCGTAAACTGACTCTTATTTATTGTACCTGAAGGTCATATTTTAATACACCAATAGTCAATTAGTTTTCATAATCCTATGCTAAAATTTAATTGGTTAAAATACTTGTATATGCGATTGATTACGGGTGTTAGATGACGAAGATAAATGTGATTTAGATCAGTCACATGGATTATCTAGTGATTATAGGTAGACCATAACTTGATTGACATTTCATAAGAAAATATTCTATACAAAATGGTCATTTTTATTTCGCTCATAATTTGCTATTTACTGATGAACTTTTTCTTTTAAATTTTCTATCGGTAACATGAATTTTTGGTGAAACTTCATAAATTTTTCATTAGATTAGGTTATCCTTAAAGTTAGTTCGTCTATTTTCAAATGTACTGTCAAGGAAACTGAAATCCGATTCGTTACCCAATCACTCTGATAAGTAAAATGTATGAATATTTATTGCTGATTAGGTTTTAACTAAATTTCGATTCATTAGCTGAGTTGTATCATATTCACCCTTGAAAATTAAGGGTTATGTCAACACGAATTTAAGGTGGAACATCTGCACCAGTGCTTTCGAATCTTCAGTGACTTTACAATTAATATCAACCCGCGATGTTAAGCATATAAACAGCTACTTAAAAGGTAACCGTATGTCGTATGAATATTCTTCTTAAGACATAAGCTTTTGTTTTCTCATCGTTAATCAGTTTTGAAGAATAAAGTAGAACTTTGAAAGAAGCTTCGTTTGATTAAAATGTACTGCAGACTGATCTAAGGTGTTATCCTCCTGTTTGTTAGTTAAAGACATGGAGTTTGAAGTGATAGGGTGGTTGTTGGAGGTAGTCGACGGAACCCTGTTTAGACCTAGGCTTCGTGCAGTTTGGCACTCATCAGCAACGTGTACCTGTGGTCCTGGGGTAACTGGTGCTCCCTGATGGACTCGACGCCAATCACTCAGCTTCATCGTCACAGATGTTACCACTGAGCTATCCGGGCGGCGAATGACCTTCTTTGAACTGAGATCTACTTAAAATTGATTGGTCATTGGGTGGTGACCATCGGTCAAGTCAATTAATATATCGATTAGTGAACATCTAGTTGATTCTGATCATTTATCTCCACAAGAACCCTCATTAGAAATTATTCAAAAAATAAGACAAACTGGTGTAAAGGGAAACCGGACATTATTCGTTAGCATTTCATCAGTTCAGGCACGATCTTAGAATTTAGAAGCGGTACATCCCATAGTTTACTGTAGTACTAGCATTTATTATTTTAGTTGTTTCTTAATACGTGCTTGGTTTCTCTTTCTAATCTTTTATTCTTCAAGTATATAATTATCTTTCACATCTTTTTCTAAACCTTATTTTGATGTATGTTCGCCTATACTTTTATTCTTTATCTAATCGTCAATTGAATAATCTTTCATATTTTATACCATCCGTTTTACCCTTTGACTTTTGCGTAACTTTAATTTCTTAACTGCCCTCAGCACCTCTATTATTGACACAACAGTTCTCTGGTTTTCCTGTAGATTGTGTAAAAATTAACTGTAAATAAAATTATACAGCTCTAGTAAATAACATCGTTGAAAACAAAATTTTCTTCATTGAGACGTTTTTATTTTGTTGATAGACTCGACGGGTTTTACGATAATTAAAAGTATTCGAATTAATGTAATAACTAAGAATTTCTGAAGAGTGAAATTTAAGGGAGGTAGAACTAGATGAGCACAAATGGAAATTCGTAATCAGTGGGTAATCAAGTATAAATGAATCATGAGTTCATACAGATACCACAGTTTCTTTAGTTAGTTTCAGTCAACCTTAACTGCATTGCTGAAAGTAACAGATTATCGAAAGCATATTATGATTTTTATGAGTATAAGGGGCATGAATTTGCAATACGTTTCCGTTTCAGTTCTCAGTATGAAGTATCTAACATTTTTCGATCTATTTAATGAGTGAATGCGGCATAAAAGAGTATGATTTTCACCAAGCATTTCATTTCAGGCTTTAACTTTTACTTCGCCTTTTGCTTTTCTCATCCAGAGAGTTGGGAGACACTACAGTGGTGTGTTCACGGACAACATTTGTAAGCAGCTTTAGATGATTTAAAATGAAATTCCCAGTGAAGATAACACTACTTTCCAAATATATCTTCAAATGTGGAACACATAGATATTGGTACAAGGAGGAACCAAATAGATATGCGCCAAACCAATTTCATTGATTTGTGTGAGGGCTGTGATACTGCTCGGGTGCCCAAACAAAAGCAGTAGTTTTCCTAGGGGCCATACCCGGAATCCTCGACCTAAAGGTCTGATACAAAAAGGAGTGGAGCATCGTAAGGAGATACAGTCCGATGGTAACCGGTGACCAATGATTGGTTCATACGCCATTTGTTCACTCAGGACACTGGAGCTCATATGCACCATTGGTTTGAAATCAGGGTTTTCCAACTCCCCTAGTTGAATCTTCCATACCCACTAACCTGGTCAAATCGCCGAACATTCACTTTTCGTTCTCTCAATTTCGTAAATAACACCCACGCCACGAGAAGGCAGTGAGTAGGACTTCCCTGGCAGAGGCTATTTACTCGTGGCCATGTGAGAGCATTTCGAGAGGGAGAGTTGACTCTCCCCACTCTCAGCCGTACCAGGGCATTTCGGGGCAAAACTCTCCGCACCGGGAGTGAACCCAGGCAGCCTGGGTGAAAACCAGGAATCCTAACCGCTGGACCACGCGAGACATCTTCAAACTCCTTCATTTCAATTAAAAAGGTGTTACGGACAAAGCGTTGTCAAGCTCTGAATATCCATGACATCTCTACACTTTTTATCCCTCACATTAGAAAATAAGAATATACATGAAGTTAACCTTCTATCTCCAGATATTAAGGAAATTTGGTCTCACACAGCATATTTTTACAATTTATGGACTTATACAGGGTTCATAATCAATTTTCTTTATTTGAAGTAAATGTTTATATGGATGCAAATCAATTTCCTTCAGGACTTATTATAAAACAAGTTTTTCTTGAAATAAATCAACGTATATTTGTTGTTTGTGTGTACTATTACAATATACACACATTTTCTCGAGCATTTATACACTGAAGCAGTTCCTGTTATCCTAAACATCACTGATAGAATGAATCGTTTAAAACAATTCGCTTCGAAAAGATAGACTATCAACCATTCACTGCTGATCAACACAGTTAATATCAAAACAAGTAAATAACATGGATATTGTTACGTTCATGCTGATTTTATACTCCATTGTGGCATTCAGGTTTTATCTAGTTAATCCCAAGAGTTTCAGGCCGCATGGTCTAACTTGAGAGTCAGCTGCTACCAAAGATCACAACTTAGTCACTACGGAATCTAAGTGGGACAACTACGGTAATTAGTAAATTTTCACTTTATCCGTCTTGTAAAGAAACAATAGAGGAATACATACGAAATCATGAACTGAATAAATTATTCAATGAATTAAATATTTTGGGGTGAAAGTGATTGTTAAGGTTTTCAGATAAAGCCAATCATTAACCCATGAACAGTTAATATCAATTTTAGAATTTCATGTCAGAAATATGAAATCTCCATTTGAAATCTGGTTGGTCTTTCAGTTTAATATATTTCCATCAAAATCGCTTTAGATGTAAAAAGACAATGTTTACTTGACGGAATAGCGTATTTTCCAGACGAATGAGTTAAGGTTATCCGAAGCATTTTCAATGTTCACTAGATCTATCCCATCCAGTAATTTCTGTCACTTTTCCATTCATTTAGCGGGGAAGTCCTGTACATTACAGTTTAGTTTTTATAAAAGATTTCAAAACAAGTGACTGTAGTTATCCACTACTGTCTGCTATCAACATATCCAGTGTAGCACTATCCAGCATCCTGGATGAAAAACACAGATACAGTTGAAGTTAGGCTTTCAAGCAAAATTTTGAGTGAAGAAGATACCCTTATCTCACCAGACGTACGGAAATATGGTTACGAGCATTAAATATAAAACATTTGTCATAAATTGATAACACTGTAAAACGATCTTAGACTATGAATGCTGGACAAATTTTAAAAATAAATAATTCAAGTATAGTAGTATTTTTAGTCATCAATTTATAATGCTAGTGGAATTTCAGGATTTACAATATCTATAAACCGTACTATACATATTTACGAACTCTGTATCGTCTCACAAATATGTTTGTATAATTTAGATATTTTGTATAGATATAATTTGTATGATAAATACTTAACATAAAAGCTGTTATATATGTTGGAGAAAAAATCAAATACAATTGTGTTCCATTAGACATTAAAACATTCACTTCATAACTGGTATAAGGCATCAGTACCTATCTAAGACATAATTTTGTTTAAAAATTCTAGTTTAATCAAAACTAAGCAAACTTATTTGGATTTAAAAGTACATAGAATATTAAACATTGGAATTTCAATTATCTAAAACATTCAAATTTAATTCCTACAGTTTTATTCAAACGATAGTAGTGTAAGCCAAGCAATAGTAACCTAGATTTGTAGTTTATTGTGATATAATGTTATGACAACGAATCAAGGTTAAACATAGATGAATAAAATAAACAACAACAATAATAAACGTTCTAAGTATTATGACTCACCATTTTTTATCTGTTTACTAGAAATTAATGGTAGGTTATAATGCATCTATTGATTGAAACGTAAACTTTCAGTGTTTGGGATAAGTTTGTAGGTTTTAGTATAACTAATTAGTAATTATTTATTGATTATATTTTTATTTGAATAAATAAATAATAGTACAAAAGGGCACCGAATACATATGCACCACACAATTCACTTCGTTTGTGTGTGGGCTGTGATATTGTTCAGGTGTCCAGATCGAAGCAGGTAGTTTTCCTAGGGGGCCATACCCGGAATCTTCGACCTAAAGGTCTGATCCACAAGGCAGTGGAGCATCGTAAGGAGATACAGTCCGATG